CTACATTATGTGTGGAAATAGGAATCATATATAACATGCCTGTTATGAACGTGTGCTTGTACGGACTATCGGGGTAGCGTCTGAAGTGTTTGATGATGTGTTCTACATTATGTGTGGATACAGGAATCTGGTGCAATCTCATACAGATTGCTGCTGTGAGGTTCTGTAGTGTTTTATCATGTAGTATGTGAGACGGTCCGTAGTGCCAGGGCCAACTATAGTGTCCTCAATCGAAGGATATTGGGTGCATTTTGTCTACAGTACGAATCGATGCGTGTATCTGGTAGTACTTACTATCACTCACAGTACGCAATATTGAACAGACCGAACAACCCGCACATACGTAGCGTATATCGGAGCTCCGGCTTTCGAGTTTTTTTTCTGGCTCTTGGGACCTATTTATGTTCCACCGATACACTTGGCTACCTTCAGGGACCTCTTTGTGGAAGTCATGGATTTAGTAGGTAAACCCGACTATACGCAAGTGAAACTGCTCTATATCGGCGTAGCCACCTACGACATGGAGGAATACTACCACAACCAAACAGTTCGGTACTCAGAGGCCGGCGTGCACGTGTCACAGCTCAACATCACGTGCGATGTTCCCAACGTCGACCGTTTAAACGATCTGTTCGGTACAGCCGATCTGGTTATGGTCAGTGGCGGTAACACTCTCTTCGCAATTGACCGTATGCGACAGACTGGGCTGGATCGCTACTTGCACGACGCTATGGCGAGGTGTGTGAGTGTACGTACTGTGCGGCTACCTTTTGTCGTGGACGTATGTGCACACATGAGTTTTCACCCTTGTCTTTAGAACTGAGAAATTAAATAAAATGGAATGACAATGCCAATACACAACTAAAAATCGTGAGCTAGTGCTTTTAAAAGGCTGAATTGTGGTTGCTATGGCAGTGCCTAGTGGCCTGTGCTAATGTGGTAACTCTCTGCAGCACCCTAAGTAGCTCATTGGAGACTATGTACCTATTTGACTCATATAAGCGGTGGTATTCTATATAGTACTCATGGTGTCTATGTAGCTAACGGAGAGACTATGTACCTATTTGACTCATATAAGCGGTGGTATTCTATATAGTACTCATGGTGTCTATGTAGCTAACGGAGAGACTATGTATCTATTTGACTCATATAAGCAGTGGTATTCTATATAGTACTCATGGTGTCTATGTAGCTGACTGAGGTTGTCAATTGGTGCATAATGTGTTCGAGAAGGCTGGCTACATACTGTTCAGGCCAATGTGCCTATGCGCTGTGCCTTAAACCCTCCAGTCGACACTCAAGAGAGCAAATAGAAAATACTCGAGAGAGAGAGTGAAAAGAAAAAACACCGGGCTTTTTTTAATTTAAAGCTTTACAAAACCCCCTTTCACTGGCTGACGCACGCAGCTACCTCAACCGCACAACTAAGGGCACTCGGCCATTCACTTTAAATCACTCGTCTTTTATATGTGCTCAACACTCGGCTTGACCACTGTTTTCACCACCCTCGAAGTACTGCGTAGACACGCACATACCTTCAGTATACTCCTCCATCCGAGATGGGTAATACAAGGCGGCGTGTAATCGTTAGCGAAGGCATTCAGTATGCATCTGCGTGTGCCCTTGCCTACCACTCACGGTCAGTGTCCGAGTGTGGCCCAATTCCTGTTTGTACACACACCTCTGCTACCTGTGACTTTCTGGGCAAACGTTGAAAGCTGCTTGGGTGCTTGACTCCCTACGACAAATGTGTACACTTAGCCTACGTTGATCACGCACAGCCTGTATAAATGTATGCGATTTCCGTTTACTTATTAATAGGGGGTGTGTGTGATTTCCGGCTTCCAGATGTATACGCTATCTCCACACACCGCGAAAGCGTGCAGCCACTCTGCCATGCACATACACCTCTTGTGTCTAAACCCCTCTCCGTGAACATAAACTACAGGGGTGTTGTGCTCGTCGGTGGTTCTGCTGGGGCTATCTGCTGGTTTGATGGTGGCCACAGTGACAGTATGGACCCAGCCACATACAAGAACGCTATGCTGCATCCGCATCCGCACGCAAACGAGACGGCTCCTCACGCCTCGTGGAAGTACATTCGATCGCCTGGTTTAGGTAGGTTTGTGCGTATGCGGTATAGTGTAGTGTGTGTATACTGACTTGTAGGTGCTGACCAGACATATGTGATATTTGTATGTTATGCATCGGTTGTCGTAAGCGTGTGCGTATGAGTGTGCTTTGCGGCTGCACATGCGCACGAGGTTCAAGATCTACCTGTGCAAGTCGCAGGGAGAAGTAGCACATGCCAGAAGATCTCACAGATATCAATACGACAAAACACGCCGGGGCTACTTTCAGTTTTGGGTTCTCCAAATTGCGGTGACACACCTCCCTACAGGTACACTGAGCTCCTTCTTGGGTAGGGATACCAGTAGGGCCTCAACTTCAAGAGTCCATGCAAATTGAAATATCAATTTTGAGTGTTTTAATTGACCTACGGTGTGCTAACGTGACCAACTCCTGCATGCTGAAACATTTAGTGTGTTATCTGCAACGGTAAGTGGTTCGGGAACAACCAAACGTAATATAAAAACACTTCACTTCTGCTTTACAGACAATATATGTACATCTGCAAGGGCCTTACCAGCACAGCCCATGCAAAATTGTTGAGACCTTATACTGTAGACCTTATAATAAGGGCAAGGATTTGGTTATATCTTAACTGACAATATGAATAAAATATGGATTATGGTCGTCTGGTCGGTCTCTTGAATATGAAAACGTACATTTATCCAACACTGAGCATCCATATACTCTGCAAAAGAAAGTATCTCAACTCGAGGTCTTAAAGTATGCGATAGTTCGTGGTATACGAATATGTGCTTGAGGCTGTTACTACTAATAACACCGACTCACCAACAACAACTCACTCACTGGATCAGGATTTCTGCCGGGTTTGATGGTACCGCACTTTGACAGACGCGAGAGTAATGGCCTTCTGCGTGCAGACGATTTCTTCCGCATGATGCTGAAACACACTGGCGAAAGCGGCATCGCCATTGACCACTATGCTGGATTGATTATTCGTGGAGATAGCTACAGGTGTGTTATTGATTCCGTATATGAGTGTGTGGCTGCTTGTGCTAGTATATGGGCGGTTCCGTTTTCGTGTGAGTTTGCAATGTGCGTTTGCGTATACACAGGCGAAGCGATGGCTATGCTGGATCCGTTATTCATAGGGTTTTAGGATTTTTTGGTGTTGGATCTTTGTGTATTTGTGTGTGGATATGTGCAGCTGTTTGCTTGTACACTGGTACGGGTAAGGTTACGTCGGAGCGTGTGTATAAAAGTGTGTATGTGTCGACTAATTTGGTGACTGATGGGAGTGCGCGCCGATGTAGCAAATAAAATATAGATTTTATTATTTGCATGAAACCGATAAGACTCAACAAATTTGAAACTTACAATGAGGTTCTGAAGTTAATACCAAATCAATAGCCTTGACATGAATTTTAACATCCAGTGGACTCCAAAATGTGTCTATCTTTTACGGTGTTCGTTATTCCCACTTTCTTCTAATATATCTGCAGAGAGTATTTTATAGTATAATTGCACTCCGATGTTGTTCTAAAAATGTCGATCCTAATAATATATTCCTCCAATGCCACGCAATGTATAGAGTTTTCGCAGCCAAAGGTAAACCAGGCACCAATCTTGATGGCCACTTTGACCGCACCGACAAAGGTGTGCCTGCTGTATGGCAAGTGAATGTGCTTGGGACGAGTTCGATTATACAGTTGCTACCCCCGGCTGTGGGGAGCTTGTCAGACCTCCTGAAGCCCGCACTCTTTGTCAATGAAGATTCTTTGCTCGAGACTGCGCGTAAAGAGAATCCGGATGATGGAATCTGCTGAGCTTTATCATTAATCAGTGTTTTCAAGCAACCTACCATAAGACAGTGCTATGAAAGCTAGCTCTCTGTTGGAGCAGTGTGTTTATAAACCTTTTGCCGATAGTTTGACATAGTGCACGTGTATCAGCTGATTGGTTCATTACCGGAACCTATGCACGGGAACAGTCAGAATGTTCACTTTCGTCGCTTTACGATAGGTATGGGAGTCATCAGCTCGCCTTTCATTTCGAGTTAGATATTTTCAGAATTACGATTGAGTGTTAAAAGAAATAAAATTAAAAAGTGTACAAACTAACACGATGTCGTGCAAGCGATGTAATAGAAATAAATTGTGAATGTGTATATAAAGTATGTTAACGATCGATCCAAGTCAAACGTTTTGTGTTTGTACAGATAGTAATAAAAGTGAAAATCCGTGTTTATACGCAAAAATGAAGAAGAAGAAAATGAACCGCACTTTCAATCCCATATATTGAAGCGTGCTATGCGAGAAGCAAGCGTTTTTGAACGCGTGTGGTGGACAGTTCGCGATGAACAAGATCTGACACCAACTACGGCATTGCTTGCACCTTTGCAATGTTCACATTGTGCTGACACCAACTACGGCATTGCTTGCACCTTTGCAATGTTCACATTGTGTGAGTGTTACATTCGTGCTGTTTCTAAAAATTCGTACTCTCCGTCGCCTTACTATAGATGGACCTTAACAGCGACATGAAACAGTCATATTACTTGCGAACTTTTTGAGGCATATGAGCAGTTGTGACTAGGATTGTTTATCGGCACTGACATATCTTACGATTCCAATGATCTTAAAGTGTCTATCTCCAAAGTTCGTAAAACAATAAAAGTCCATCCCGATTTTGTCAATTCAATTTTTAAATGAAATTTACGCTCCGTTTATAACCTCCTTTCCCAGGCATGAGCGAGGTGAAAGAAGCAAGGCAAAATATTGTGCAGTATCGTTGATAGTGGAGACCAAGCTGGTCAAATTCTGCAGTATCAGCTATTTAAATACTTAAAGAGTTGTCCTGGGAATGGGAGGTACCGTGCGACCTCAAACTCCGCAGTCTGCACAGTGCCGAAAATATATTAGCGGCGACAAATATGAATACAATTCTATCAGGCCGTTTGATGAGGCATAGGATAATGGATAAAGTCAAAAGTGTACAACTTAAGCCAAATTAATATTAATAGAAAGGACACCTCAGGGATGAACCTAAATTGAGTTCACCCATCTGATCGTACGGCTGTTCGTAGTGATTGTTCTATTTAACTCAAAATTTCTTTAGTTTTTCCTTCTAGCATATTTTTGGGCTCTCGCGTCAAATTGACTTTATGATCTCGGTGCTGAGAACAAATTCTGTTGCCTCATTACGCATAGAAGAAGACACGTTTCCCCTCTATGTAATGTTATTTGATTGAATCTGCGCGCGCACAGAGCTAGTGAAAGTGACACTCGAAGAAACCAGCGCAGAAATCTCAACACAATTGCTTTATAGGTTTTATAAAACAAAAAACGCTAACTGAAAAACAATGTGAGCAAATGGCTTGATCAAGCACTTAAAAACCGGCTCTTGCGCACAAGCTTATTCTGTGGTGCAAATGTTTGTAAAGTATATGTGCCTCTTGTAGGTTGTATTTGGGAACAGAGCGTAGTATGTATACTGGATACGCACTTGCACGATTAGCAACGGCCGAATTGCGATTTGATCGAACGCATGTTTCAACCCCCCATGTCTGTGCAAAGATATGCTGTAGGTTCTCTTTCAAGGACTATATATGTGAGCCGATACTGTGTCTGTATCTCAATAGTTATTATTTTCGGAAGACAATTAAGACTTTCAAATGTCGTTCTAATACATAGTGTGCTTGTATCTCATAATTGTAAGCTTTAAGAAGACAACTAGACTTTCAAATATTGTTCTAGTCTTGAGTCTTATGCAACATAAGTTGAGAATGTCAATATCAAAGTCATCATATATGGCTACTGTGCGCATTTATTCTCATCTCATACTGTACTTAAACCAATACTTCCAGATCAAGCTGTCATATACAATGACGATTGGGCAGCCTGACGATTAATATACATGAAAATAGAAAGTTTAGATAAAAAGTATAGATAAATATTTCAAACCGTTGAAAGGATAGTTTAGATTCAATGGAGGTTTGGTAGCATATAATTTCAGTGTTATTGCTTAGACGAAAAAACGTATATTCTTACCGATGTCGAGGTTATCCAGCCATCATATATTTAAATTATCTTCCGTCTAGTACACACGACTGTAGCTTGTCTGAAATTTTGCTTTAGTAGCAGCTAGCTACAGTTGTTATTGAATTTGTGTAATCATGGGACGATTCCGCTTACCATGTACGATATCAGTGCTATAACACTTACTATAAAGCTTCAAATATATCGTCTACTCATAGACGTTCGATGCTACATGAAAATATACCTAAATCAAACTTGAGAAAAAATATTTGAAAACCCCAAGCTGGTGCCGTAACACATTGCATGTTGTGTTGCATTGGGACTATGTATTAGCGACTTAATTCCTGGTCGCAATTGTTCGAACGATAACGTATAAGCTTCTCTATTGAATAAGTCCTTCGAAAAAAATACAATTATCAAGTGATCAAAACCCAAGCCGTACGCGGTGTCGGGTACAGGCGTTGGTGGCGTGGTAGGCGCCAATCTAGTGATGGTATGTGATTATAAACTTAAAAGTTTCGAAAGCGAACTCGAATTTGTCCGTTGTCTTAGAAATTGAGATCTTTCAATGGCATTAAAGTCTACAAACTAGAAGTGTCCTTCTGATCTATCTTTCCTGGCCACACTTAAGTTACATCCGCTTATCATTAGCGCCGCGTTAACAGAATAGAACTTCTTCACAGCAATGTATTTTAAGTGATCTTAAAGTCACATTTCATTGTTTTTTATTTTTCTCTTTGGGCATCTTTTGTAAATTTTAGTGCCAATCATGCGGAATGTTTACTTTATAATTCGCATTTTTATATTATACAGGATGTGTCATAAAGGAATGAATCGATCGCTAGACTGATGAATACATATCATCCCCTTCGCGAAAAGAATATTGTCTGTCTGCAGACAATATTATTTGTTATTACGTGCGCGCGTTTGCATTCGTTCTTCATTAAGAATAGGAATAATATTATTTATTTCAATTTGGATAAAGTTTTATATGTCTACATGTACATCAGGCTTCATATTCGTTGGAGAGGTTCTGGGAAAATTGAAGGGAAGTTGAGATTGTCGAAATACCGCGAGATGCTCGGGGCGAGTGATGCAACAATGGGAGACATACGGTGCGTTAGTTCACGGCCTCTACCATTGGGTGAAAACTAAAACCTGTGTGCCATTGCGTGAAAAGCTGGCCCACACTTGTAGTGGTAATATAGGCTGAGTCAGTCTGAGATATTTTGAATGTGATACCAAGTAGGGTGAGGTTGTCATCCGCAATTTTGTTTCAGAGCGAAGTTGGGGGATGTCCGATACCACACCCCACAACTGATGTATTTGGAATATCTTGGCTAGCCATAGCGGGAAGTATTATAGGTGGTATCAGAAGTCTCGAAGATTTGGTCTGCACCGAAATCTGGACATAACACTTCAGTAAAGTGATGAGACGGGGTATGGGGAACATCAATCTATCGACTAGTACTATGAAGAAGGAAGCTTCCGAGATGTTCGTGGAGGGTCCATATGCCGTGGTAATCATGCCGATTCTGTAGTCGTTGTAGTAAGTCCGGTCCAATTGGGGGCAGATTAGGACCCACCAGAATACGCCTTATCAGAGAGTGGCTGGACGTAAAAGTGTTATTTCCAGGGCACACAGGACAGAGACATCCATCAATACGATAGTCAAGCAATTTGAACAGGAACGTGTTGGTTGCTATCATGGCACAAAGGCGGATTAGGGTGCGTTCGCGGCAACGGGTAAAGCTACCATGGGATGGCTTGTCCCGGTCCGTAGTGGGAGGTTCTCCCCCTATAAGTCGATAGTAGTGTTGGCGGCGAGCCCTGCTTGCTATCTCCTTGGTTGTGGGACGTTGTGTGGTATTATGTCGGATATGCTCGCGAAGCTTACGGAGTTCTTTTTGTTGAGGTGTGCACCCGTTTTTCGATTCTAGATAAGCGTAAATACTGAACGGGAATATGTCCGGAGGTTTGATACGTGTCCAAGCGAGTCTCGTCAGTGGGGCGAGTGGGTTTGTACTGTTGATTGAGTCAGTCGTACACTTGTCCTAATGACCACGAGAACTGCTCGATGGTATAGTCTTTTGTGTGTTTTTGATTCCTTTGTGATTTTTTAATGACCTATATCCGACTAGAATACTTTTACCAATTATCGTCCTCAACAGCATTTCGCTAATCGCTCTTATTTTTGACATAGCTCAATCTCACTGGGAGAGTTTGACCGATAAGCAAATGGCCGAACTGCCCGCCTATGCTCCACCAAAACCAGTGCAGAAGGTACATACATTTGCGACATGTGTTTATGTTATACGGAAAATCCAGGTTCGGTTTCAGTATAGTAAAGCACTGCCTAGTGTTCGTTTCGGGTCTGATTGCTTCGATTATTGAGCTTGGAAGTGTTTGCACTAGTGTGAGGTGTGAGGTTTATTTACGAGCCATGAGTCGCTCTGCTGTTGTGATGTTATTGTTGTCGGGGAATCCCGGTTCGTTTATATTATAGTATAGAACTGTCTAGCGTTAATTCCAGGTCTGGTTACTTTTATTATTGTAAGATTGCGAGGCTTTACTTTGCAATATTGTAGGACGAGAAGGCTATTCACGAGTCATGAGTCGCTCTACTGTTGTGACATCTTCTTGTACATCGACTTTGTAGGCAATGTATCGATATCTTTGCGTAATACATGTCCCTTCTCAATGCTCTGCTCCACTGTGTTGCTCTATCCAAAGCCCTGTCGTGTTACATCTGTAGCACGGGCACATGGCATTCTGAAGCGAAATCCGCCCTACCGAAGTATCATCCTTATGCCTTTATGCTTCTACAGAATCCATCTCTCAAGATTATAATGAAAATGGAGCCATGCGCAACGGTTCCGAAAGTGACCGCCGTATTAGATGCTGACCCAGACAGTTACGCAACCGACGATGCGAGCGCGAAATCGAACAGTGGAAGCGATACACCCTCTCGGCTTAGATCAGACAGGGAACGCAATACACCAACCAGCTCGACAAGCAAAACAAGTACAAATCGGTCCAGGAACTCGAGTCCAGGTGCCAGCGCCCATGGAAAGGCACAGCGTTCGGCTTTACCATCTTCAAGTTTAAGCGTGCTTATAGATAAAGTTCTTTCACTAAGAATACTACCTCGCTCGTGGGTGAGCAGTCGAGTACGGCCAGTGCAACCAAAGGTGCAAATGGCGTAATTCCGGGCTCGGTGATAAGTTCAAGTGGTGGCGAGGGTGTGCAGATGACCACATCAGCCACAGATATGCCAGCGATAAACAGTAAGAGTGCCCTGCAAGGCACTCGCAAAGCAGCTAGTGATAGCGTCAGTATACCCCTGGACACCGTGGTAGCGAAGATAGAGAGCCTGGACACCACATCAGATGCTGCGTTGCTAGATGCAGCTGTATCGAATACTGGCAGGTCAACGAGTGACGGTGCCGCTACTACCACCGGGGGCTCAGTACAAAAGTACAAATTTATTGCAGGCGACTAGTGCTGTAGCTTCAAGAGAGCAATCCAGGGGACCCTCACCAGTGCCTACAGTCATTCTGACAGAGAGTATCAACCACTCCACCACTACGAGTTTAACAACCCCCGGAGGGTCAGCTGCGACAAGCAATTCAGGCGCAGCGAACACAATGCCCACACAGTCGACGCTGAGCACGACCAAGAGCGACGACACGTATACAAGCCCTTACCCACATCCCCAAGCACCGGTAGGGGATACAACGAAGAAGTGTTTGTGGTGCTGGTCTGCAATGTTGAGTTATGCGCGCAGATGCGTTTGCTTTTGCCCGCACTTGTTCTTTTGATTATATATTAGGAGTTGTTGCAGGCCGGCTATTCTCAAGAGTCGTTTGGTTGTGTCAGAGCGTGGGTCGGGGGCGGTGTGCATGTTGACAGTGACACAAAAGGCAGTATAAGAGAGGCCGGTATGTTTGCGAGGATATAAGTGTGCGAGATTTGGGTGCTTTACAGAGGTGTTCTTGAAACTGTTAGCAAACTGTATAGCACATTTCTTGTCCATAAGATTCTATCAATCGCTTCTTTTTTTTCTCGAAGACGCTGCTACTTCACATCTCGCCCCAATTTTTCCTTGTGCCATCTACCCGCAGACTCTATCAACTATACGTATATGTAATATATATACGGATGTATACGCTCACCACACCCATCCTTCGATACAGGGCCAGTCCAATCCTATTGCAACCGGCAAGAGTACGGCACCAGCGACAGCTAAACCGTTGGGCACACCGACTGCTGGCAGTCTGACCAAAAGCGGCAGTAACGATAAAATGAAGGTCAAAAATGTAAAATCGCGGGTCAAAGTTGGGGCCAGCGGTACGAAATCTGGAGCTGCCGGCACAAGTAAACTTAGTAAGAAGGAGCGACTAGCAAAGGCTGCGGCTACGAAGGCGACCGAGACAGCTAAACAGGATACGGCAAAAAGCTCTGGAGCAGCGCCTGGGGATAGGTCGGGAAGGTACGTTCGTGCATGCTAAGGGGCATGTTGGGTTTAAATGCGCAGGGGGAAGTAGGTATTCGCCTGGTTATTATAGGCGGGAAGTTATATTACGACTCTTTGCTATGCAGATATTGCCCAGACAGAAACCTTTGACCACACCCAGTTGCGGCTTATTTATATGGTGGGCATGCTGTATCTCTGACGTGTTCACGGATAACCGTTACAATTTTCAAGCCTATTCTGAGGCACTACCTAGTGCTTGCTCTTTTTGATATATTCACAAGGATTTCCTCCAATAACTGATGAGAGATGTTGTTTAATCTCGGCGTGTTCTGTTAGGGTTTGGCCTGGTTAAAATCATCACTGTGGATGTAACATTTTCATACGGGTGGCTACTACCTTTGCACAGTGATAGTAATCGGATGTGTTATACTATTACTGAAAGAACAGGTCAACATACTAATTAATCATATAAAACAGCTGAAGTGGTATCATCAATTACCTCGAATCCGAGACTAGAGGAGTATTTGAATACCATGATATTGCTGTTTCACGAAGTATCGCATCTCTTTACTGGTACTCCAGTGGCTGCCAAAGACGCTCGTCGCCGTATTCTGTCACGCACTTAAGCTTCCGGGCTGAACACACTCCATAAATGGCTTAGGACATCTTGCACACTCGCACACACACGCAGACACACACACACACACACATATATATATATATATATATATATATATATATATATATATATATATATATATATATATATATATATATATATATATATATATATATATATATATATATATATATATATATATATATATATATATATATATA